CATGAAGTTAATTTAAGGCACCGGTTCTCGTTTTTATGCAATAAGCCCAGTTAGGAATGTGTTCTAATGGTTATAGCAGCGGTTACCATTGACGGTGACGAAAGCGACGACATTTTACAGCACGTTGTAAATTGACTGAATGAAAATATGCTTATCAACCTATATTTATCTTTCAGTTGCTGTAAGCCGGTAGTGTAGTGCCGGTTTGTACCGTAGCAATTTTTCCACCCCACCTCCACACTTCTGTTTAACTATTTATGCGGACCATTTGAGCATTCCACGGTTCCGTATGTTTAAGCGCATGCAGTTCATAGGACACATACACTGCGTCATTGAGTTCGGTCGAAGTTGAACATATTCGAGTACCTACACAACTGCCATTGTCCATTGATAAATATACAAAAAATTTAACGAAATATATAACCCCAATGGTCCGCGGTAGCTACCAAGAATGACTGCCTCATCGACAAGTATAACGCATTTCAATCATGCACTGTTGCGGTACAGCGCGGTGCAATGTCTGCTATCCGTTTTAAGCTGCCGTAATTTCGCTGTAAAGTAAGTAAGTTTACTTTACAGTTTTCACCGTGTAAATCCGGTGTCGGAAGCCATACTTGAAAAGGCCAAAAGGCTTGTCAAGCAATTCATGGATGATGAGTATCAGGTACGAATAGACTACAGCGGAGCTGGACCACGCTTATCGACAAACTGCAAGCCAGGCCTGACGGTCACTTGCTTGCAATCATATCGGACGCAAAATCAGATGGGAAACAATGGCAAATTGTGACAAGAAACGCGGTGATGTCGCAATCCTTTGTAAGAACGAATAAGTCAGTAGTCTGGCAAAGACCATGGATCAGGAAGGGAAAACCACTAACTACTACCGGGAAATAATGTAGGTTTTAAGTTGCTTGCATATTCAAATTTTGAAGATCCTTGCTTTCACCGTATACAGATTTTTTTTTCAAATTCATTGATGTTTTATAAATGGAGTTTAGTAAGATAGTGTCAATTAAGCGGACTTTACAGTAGGTGGACTTGATACATACGTTTTGGGGCACATCCCAGAGATATTTTAGACTGTTTTCTCCCGTGGCTTTGGTGCTCAAGTGCCTTTCTTTGTATCATAGCTGAAGGCGATTTCTTGATCCATGCATTGTCTTTTATAGGTCGTTTGTTTCCGAGGTAGAGTGCACCTGCCTACTCTACTTAGATTCGTATACTTTTCACATTCTTCATTGTTACTTGATTAATGTTTATTTTATCTTATCGCCTTCTAAGTTGTTTGAGCTGTAATATTTACAGTCGATGGTACGTTCAACGATTCTGGGGCTCTAAATTACTGGGTACTTGATCTGCATCGTTTTTATTCTCAACTTTATCTGCGGTTATCCTACCTTTTCACTGTTTGTGCCGACCTTCCGATTACTCAGGGCTTCTTTGGCACACTTATGAAAAGAAGGAAGGTTTGTAACTGTTACAGTATCGGTCTTCTTAACACATTTTCATGCTATTTCTTTTTTATGCGCTTTTCTTTTCATGAACTAAATATTGGGCGTTCACATCCATTTCTATGCCACTGGCCAGGACCCCTTGTTTTAAACGCTGTAGCAATTGTATGGCATGCATAGATTGTGGTTATTCTTTTGTTTCCTTCCTAAAGAGTGGTACTCATTTATAAATCTCGGAAGGAACAAAGGTGAATGACCTTATCTAACCTCAAACCTTGACTTTTTGGTTCTGAGTCCAACGCGACTTAGCAGCCCCGGCGGTACATATGAGATTCACCCCATTTTACTCTAAGGAACTCTGTGTATCGAACTTCTTTACTTCTGTTTTATGGCTTTGTTATTTAATCGACTATTTATTAAATTTATTATATGTAACTATGATGTTATATTCTTAATAACATGTGATATTTACCCATTTACGTGTGTAGCGCCAGTCATTTCCTACATAGTTGAATCTGATTTCAGAATATGAGCCGCGACACATCGGCTGAGGTGTTGAGTGTGGGAAATGACTTCCAGCACAGTGATGTTATTCCAGAATTGCGCCCGTATCAGCGAGAGGCAGTGCGTTGGATGTTGTGGCGG